ACAAGCCATCCTGTGTTCCTTTTGGTGACTGAACTCAGTTTCCATAAAAGAGCAGTACATGCACTTTACTGTAGAGCCATTTGTCTAGATTTCCAAAGTGACAATAATTAACTACTTTTTTCTAAATGTCATGACTTTCACATATTTTTTTTTCTATATCGCAGCTATAACATCTTAGTATGCTGGTTGTTTTGTATTTATTTATATTTTTACATCCCAACAACAGTTTCCTCTCCCTCCTCATTTTACAGACCCCCACCTACACCCCCAAATCATCTACTCCTCTTTTTCTCTTAAGAAATGGCAGGTCTCCCACGGATATCAACCAGCCATAGTATATCAAGTTTCAGTGAGACAAGGCAACCTGGTAGGAGCAAAGGGTCCCAAAAGCAGACAACAGAGTCAAAAGTAGCCCCTACTCCCACTGTTAGGAGTCCACAGCATTTCCAAGCTACCCAACTGTAACTTATGTGCAGAGGGCCTAAGTCAATCCCACACAGGCTCCATGGTTGTTGGGTTAGTCTATGTGTACCTCTATGAACCCAAGTTAGTTGATCCTATGGGGTTTCTTGTGGTGTCCTTGCTTTCTCTGGGCTCCTACAATCCCTCCTCCCCTGCTTTCTAGGATTCCTGAGCTCCAAGTAATCATTGGCTGTGGGTCTCTGTATCTAGTCACATCAGTTGCTGTGTGACACCTCTCTGTTGATTGTTGGGCTAGTTTCCAGTCTAAGAATATAGGAGAATGTCATTAGGGATCACTTCGTTGATCATTTTTTTGTTGTTGTTTTGTTGTGGGCAGTTGTCTTTGGTTCTATCCTAAGGTGTCTGTGTTGTCTCACCTCTGGGTCTTGGCCCTGCAGGAAATATCAGAGGTGGGCTTCGTCTCATGGTGTTGGTCTCAAGCTATCCAGTCATTGATTGGCCACTTCCACACTTTCTGTGCCATCTTTACCCTAGCACATCTTGCAGGCAGGACAAATTGTAGGTTGAAGGTTGTGTGGCTGGGCTAATGTCCCAGATCCTCCACTGGAAGTCTTGCCTGGTTACAGGAGATGGCCTGTTCAGGATCTATGTCCCCTATTGCTAGGAGTCTTAGCTAGGGTCACCCTCAGAGATTCCTGGGAGTTTCCATTGCTCTAGGATTTTAGCTTATCTGAGAGACGCCAGCAGATTCCAATTGTCTCTCCCAGTACTCTGTCTCTCCATCCCCCCATCCCTGTCCCATCCCCACTGATATACAAGCCCCCCCCTCCACTGTCAATATCTATTCTATTCACCCTTCATAGTGAGATTCACACATCTCCCCCTTGAGCCCTCATTGTTACTTAGCTTTTCTAGGTCTGTAGATTGTACCTTGGTTTTCCTTTTATTTTACAGCTAATATCCACTTATAGGTGAGTGCATACCATTGTTGTCTTTCTGGGTCTAGGTTACCTCACTCAGGATAATCTTTTCTAGTTCCATCCATTTGCCTTCAAATTTTGTGATGTCACTGTTTTTAACAGCCAAGTAATACTCCTTTATTATGAATAAAGCCACTATGAACATAGTTGAGCAAAAAGTCCTGGTGGTATGGCAAAGTATCTTTTGGGCATATGCCCAGGAATGGTATAGCTAGATCTTGAGGCAAATTGATTCCCTATTTTCTGAAAAATTGCCATATTGATTTCTGAAGTGGCTGTACATGCTTGCCTTCTAAACAGCAATTGTGAGTGGTGCCTTCTGACTCCACATCCAGCATGAGCTGTCACTTGGATTTACTTCTGTGTCTTCAATTAGATTAAATAATGGATGATGATACCTCTGAAAATTATTTTATTGTACAGGTTTATTTTAGCTATCGTGCTTTTTTGTATTTCCATGTGAAGCTGAGTATTGTCCTTTCATGGTCTGTACAGAATTGTGATGGGAATTGGGTTAAGTCTGTATATTGCTTTTGGCAAGATTGCTATGTTATTCATGCCGATTCATGAGCATGTGTGATCTTTCCAGCTTCTAAAATCTTCTCCAGTTTCTTTCCTCAAAGTCTTGAAGTTCTGGTCATACAGGTCTTGCACCTGCTTGGTTAGAGTTATCCCAAGATATTTTATATTATTTGTGTCTCCTGTAAAGGATGTTGTTTCCTTGATTTCTCCCTCAGCCAAATTTTAGTTTGTATATAGGAGGGCTACTGATGTTTTTGAGTTAATTTTGGACCCAGCCATTTCACTAAAGGTGCTTATCAGCTCTAGAAGTTCCCTGGTAGAATTTTTGGGATTGCTTATGTATATATCATATCCTATCCTATCCTATCCTATCCTATCCTATCCTATCCTATCATATCATATATCAACTACAAACAACAATATTTGGACTTCTTCCTTTCCATTTTGTAACCCCTTGATCTCCTTTTGTTGTCTTATTGCTCTAGCTAGAATTTCAAATATATTGAATAGATATGGAGAGTGTGAATGCCCTTGTCTAGTCTCTGATTTTAGTGGAATTGTTTTAAGTTTCCCTCAGTTTTTGTTTTCTTTGCTGTTTCAACTTCAATTTTCAAGTCTGGAATAGTTTCCTTCACCTATGTTTGTTTTTTTTTTTTTCTTTGCATTCTTTAATGGGTTTATTGATTTTCTCAAAATTTTTGATTGCCCTTTTTTCCATTTCTTTAAGGGAGTTTTTCTTTTCCTCTTTAAAGTCCTCTGTCATCTTTAAAGTTGGTTTTAAGGTTGTTTTTTGTGCTTCTGCTGCACAAGAATATGTTAGCATATTTAGGTCTTGCTGTAAGGATAGCGGGGCTCTAGTTGTGCCACATTGTCTGGGCTGTTTTTACTGTATTCTTACACTGGTATTTAGGCATCTGGGTTTGGGATGATTTAGGTTTAGGTCCCAATTTCTGAGTTTGTTTTTGTTGGATGTGTGGTGTGTGTGTGTGTGTGTGTGTGTGTGTGTGTGTGTGTGTGTGTGTGTGTGTGTGTGTGTGTTTCTTCTTTTCTGTTTCTTCTTTAGCCTTCTAGTCTTTGTGTTCTGGATTTCTGGTGGCTGGGCTGACCTCTGATCTATTGTGGAGTCTCTGTCCATGTTGGGAGTTGGCCTTCTGGAGGCTTGGCATTTGTTGCAGTAAGGGGGTCTGTTCTTCTAGCTGATGTGGTTTGCACAGGAGCAGGTGAAGTCATCTGGAGTTGGCTGGAAGGGCTGCCACAGGAAGGGTAATGAGGAGGGAGAGTCTGTGGATGGATCTTGGGGAACATATTCTAGGGAGTGAGACAGTTCAGTTGGCAGGCGGGCCACTCTTTCTCATCTTCTGAATAATATGGCCTACACCTAGTAGTGGCAGTCATCCAGGGTGGGGGCAGGAGTCGGCAGTGTTAGGGGGGGATGAAGTAGGAGGGCAGGGGCTGTGGGATGGTCTTGGAGAATATAATTTGAGGTGTTGGGCAGTTTGGCTGGCAAGGGTAGGGGAACATTCATCTATTCTTCTGACTGGTGTGGCCTATACCTGTGCAATAGGAGTCGTCTGAGTTGGGGGCAGAACTCAGCGGTGGTGGGGAGGTGAGGGTAAGGGCTGTGGGATGGGTCTTGGAGAACAGAATTTGGGTAATGGGCCAACTCATTTTTCTGACTGGTATGGCTTGCTCATCAACTTAGTATGTTTTTTAAAAACGGAGCCCACCTAAGTTTCCTTTGAAAAATAGTGTATTATAAGTTTGCTATTAAAAGCATTTTAGAATTATCCATGCTGGTAAATATTTATGAGATATTATAGTGTCCAATTTACTCCAGCAGATATGCAGAATTAGCCTCTCAATGCAAGAAAAGGAATTTGAAATCCCTGACAATCATTTTTGTGCTTTTATATTGTCCTTTTGCAGCATGGTTTATGCTCCTAATCAATCTTTCAGTTGAACCAGAAGAATTAGATCAACAATTTAGAGCATTAGTTATACTTGCAGAAGATCTGATTACAGTTTCCAGAGCCTACAGGACAGCTCATCAATTCTAGGGGATGCAACGCCCTCTTCTGTCCTCTGCACACACTAGGTGTGCACATGTGTACACCAGAGAAAACACCCTCTTCTGCCCTACTTATGCACTCAGCATGTGTACATGCTACACATGAGTACAAAATACTCTCTCTGTCCTCCACAGACACTAGGCATGTGCATATACACATGCATTCATGAGACGAAACACTCAAATGTAAAATAAACTAAATCTGCAAATACATATTTCCAGTATATTTCATCAGCACTATGTTCAGAGGAACTGTCAATTGTTTATTCTTGCAGAAGTATAGGTGCTAATTTACAACTTCACAAGAATAGGAGAATTTTTTTTTTTTTTGAGACAGGGTTTCTTTGTGCAGTCCTGGCTGCCCTGAAACTAGTGCTGTAGACCAGGCTGACCTCAAACTGACAAGAGATCTGCCTGCCTCTGCCTCCTGAGTTCTACCATTAATGGTGTGTGCTAACACTGCCTGTCGAAAAATAATAGTAACATATAATTTGCTAGTTATATAATCTGACATATATAATTGGGTTCCCTTTGCTATCTGACTTCAGTCACTTAAATCTCATGATAATTTTCGGCCATTACATATTATGTCCTCAAGCATTGACACTGTGGAGAGTTATATATGAAGATTAAAAACTTCTTAACATGAATATAAAAATTGTCTTACATAATTTTAAAAATGTTCATTATTTATCATACTTATGTGTTTATTTGTGTATGCCAAGGATACAGCCACTGTGAAATCCTATGATCTTTTGAATGGACAATGTTTCTTAGTCCTATACTAAAATCTTTTCTTTAATGCAAGATGTGCTGTTATGGTTGTGTTAGTGTACTGCTTCAGTGTGTCTAAAAATGTTAGACAGTCTATGGATTTCATAGGATATAATTTAAAACAATACTGCTTGCTACTTAAAATAGTCAAAAACGCATTTGTTACTTAAAATACTCAAAAGTGTTTGTTGTTTATACTCTATGATCAGCACAACTTTCTTTTCTCTTTTTAGAGCAATGAAGTTGTCTACTACAATGCAAAGGATGATCTTGATGTGAGTATTGAAAATTTACATTATATTATTGCTGAACTGAAGCTGGATTTAACACATATCAAGAGAATGTTAGATGACAAAGGCAAACTTTAATTAGATGTAACAAGGTGATAATGGGTGTTATGCTTTTTTCATATCTACTAGCTGCTTGCTGGCCTTTCTGTATTTGAAAATGCTTCCTAGTTGTCTGTTTCTGAACCGGCATTCTCTGTATGAGTCTCAGTGTGTACTGCAGTGCTTAGATATGTGCATTACTTTTGCAAGGTTGCGCAAAATAATATTGTGTAGGGAGAATGAAAAAATATAAGATAAGTAGAGTTGGTCTAGGAGTTGTGATATGTCACAACTCCTAGAATATACAACACTATTAATATCTTCAAATAGCAGATTTAATTGAGTACTAAAATTTGTGCTATCTTTAAGTCCTCTTCTACAAGTTATCTTAACTTGTACAGTAACACTGTGAAAAATACACATTTCCCCCCTTTCATAGATGGAAGACTTGGTGTTTTTTTTCTTTTTTTATTTGTTTGTTTTAATTTTATGTGTAAGGGTGTTTTGCCTGTATGTGTGTATACATATATGTGTATGCTCTATGTGTGTCTGGTTCCCACAGAAGTCTGGATGTGGAATCAGATCCTTTGGAACTAGAGTTACAAATGGTTGTGTGTGAGTTGTCATGTGAGTGTTTGGAACGAACCCCAGGTCCTCTGCAAAAGTAGGAGGTGTTCCCAGATGCTGAGTCTTATCACCATCCACACAGTAGCTTTCTTTATAAACATCTAATCTTTCCTCTGGATATAGATGATTTGCTTTTGATGCTGTTCTTATTTGAAAGAGTGTATATGTCAACACAATCATGCAGAATGGTTATTAAGCACCATCTGTCAAGGAACACAAAATGGTTTTCTGTTTTACAGTTTATTGAGTGGTGTTAGAATAAGGGAATTAGAATTACTATTTGTTATTGAAAATAATTTTGCTATGGCTTTGAAGGAGAGCCAGGTATGTTCATGGGAAGCTTTGGACAGGTAAATGCAGAAGAAGATGCTGTAATTATAATCTCAAAAACATAAAAAAATAAAAATATGCAAGTTCATTATCAATTTTCCTGAAAGTCTATTTGTAGCAGAAGCTGTAGCCATGCCTACTTAGGGGCTGGCTACAGGTGTGACTGACCACGCTTGTGAGGGCATTGTCAGGGTGACGTAGAGCAATACTTGCATGGTACTGTGTTTTCTTTTTCGGTTTAACTTTGGTACTTGCTGGACAGACAGCTGCCATGCCCATTGGCTAGGTTGTTCTGTAAGTAATGCTTTTCCCTATTAAATACTCTTATATTTCTACCTGACTCCATATTGGTAATTTCCCGCTATATCTATTAGTTGTATCTTTTACTAAATTTTTAATTCATCAAACACTGGTACTGATAATTCCTTTCTTCTACAGTCTGTTACTTTGTGATAATGACACAAAATATAGAAAATAAATATTTTGTTCTAACATTTATACAAGCAATTTCATTTTATGCCAAACAGAGCAGTTTTGCTTAGTTATATTTACTTGTTAGTCACAAATTTTCTTTTTTTTTTTACATGGAAACGAAGCCCACAGTTAGCCATATGAAACTGACTTTTAGCAAGTAGTGACCCCATTTTTAATCACAGTGCTTCAAGATTAGAATGTTTATCGGTCATAAGCACAGATGTATGTCTGAGCTCTGTATTTGGAATACTGAAAGCAGATCTGTGTTTTCTTCATAATCTATGTGCAGGGATAGTCTTTCTCACATTAAAAAGAAAACTCATTGGTGTTATTTATTTCTCCTGTTTCAGTATTGAAAATGACTCTGTAACAGAGAAAAAAAATCCATGGAAATGAAGTCATTGAATGTGGTCTGTATTTTGTGCTGCTTCATCCCAAACAAAATAAGTGATTATCATATTATCTTTTATAATTATTCTTATAACATGGTGCAATTATATGACAGACTTCAGCAAATTTAATCAAAAGTTTATGGACATCAAAAAACAATCAACTTTTAAGCCATGCAGTGGTGGCACATGCCTTTAATCCCAGCACTCAGGAGACAGAGGCAGGTAGATCTCTGTGAGTTTGAGACCAGCCTGGTCCACAGAGTGAGTTTTAGGACAATGAGGGCTACACAGAGAAACCCTGTCTCTAAAAACCAGTAATAATAATAATAATAATAATAATAATAATAATAATAATAATACATTTTCTAATCTCCAATATGTGTTTTGATCATTATTACTAAATTGGTTACTACAATTTCAACATTATTCAGACAAGTGGATCAAGAATGGTAAATACTATA